TTTTTTTTTTTTTTTTTTTTTTTGTCCTGCATCCTACTTTATTAGGGCAGAAGAGTCCACATACCTCTCACCTTAGCTCTTTCTTGTGTCAAAGAAAAATCTGTTTGGAAACAGCATGCTATGTCAACTTCACTGAGACTTCCAATACTGTTGTTTTGAGGAAGATGCAGGGGCCTTTTGCGGGTGGCAGGGGGCTGTAATTTCCCCTTAAGAGTTGAGTGGGGAATAGAAGTAGAAGGAGAGTGTTGTTCAGTACATTAGAATTAATTCAGATGGGGAAGAAAATCTCTAGTGGTTACTAATATGTTTTAAAATCTGTGCCTGTGTCCCTCCAATGAAGACCATGTAAAGCCCCCTTTCGGTCAAGTTCTTTTATGATTCATTTAGGTGAAACTTTTAGTTTCTTGAAACATAGCAAGTATTTGGTGTTCTTGTGATTTTAAAAAATGCTTCTTTTTTTGCCCTAGTGTCATTATATACATTTGACAAGGCCAAACAATGTATTGGCACAATGACCATCGAGATTGATTTCCTGCAGAAAAAAAGCATTGACTCCAACCCTTATGATACTGACAAGATGGCAGGAGAATTTATTCAACAGTTCAACAACCAGGCATTCTCAGTGGGGCAACAGGTAGTTTGAAATTTTCTCTTATTCCTTTCTCTTTATAGGCATTCTAATTCCTGTAGTTGTCTAAAATTATTCTACTTTTAAAAAACTGAGAGGAGCTTTGTGTATGAACAGGTTTATCTAAGATGAGTGATAACAAGTGAGGAAGATGTTCAGAAAAATTCTAAAGTCACCTTAAGTTACAATGTCATATATAATTACAGCAGCTTTTCCATCTGTAAATTTAGGAACACTGTGAACATACATGTCTCAGATTTTTTCTTTGCTTATTGTGGAGCGTTTGTTGAGTCTTTGGGTGTCTTTCTCTTTTACTGATATATTTCTGTAGAAAAGTAGTTCTTAACTTTTTTTGGTTATGAACCTCTTTGAGAATCTTAAGGAAATTATGTACACTTATTTTCAGGCTTTTCATAGAACCTCTGAAGCCGTGATCTTCTCTTCTTTAAAATGATATAGCTGATGTGGGCCCTTTGCTTGGACTTCAGTTAATATCATATTGTTAACTTCCTAGAACAACATTCTATCCTTTTAAAACTGTACTCTTAAAAAATGTGTGAATTCATAAATTGCTATTTGTACACACAAATACATAAGTAATCATTGCTCTTTTGCCCTTACATTTGTTTCCTTCTTTGTGACTTTTCTTAATCATTCCTAATTCCTTCCTCCTACCATAGCTCCATAGCCGTGGTCCTAAAAGTGTGGTCCTAAGACCCCTGGGGATCCCTAAGGCTCTTTCATGGAGTTTGCAAAGTCAATAACTATTTTCATATTAATACCAAGACATATGTATCTTTCCCTCTTATTCTGTTGTGAGCAAATGGTGCAGTTTTGTAGATACGTGCTAGTTTTGTAGATAGTGCATGGGCTGCTGAAGCAGACATGGCGTCCAGCTGTCTTCCACTAAAGAGGTTTACAAAAAAGTGACAGTGCCACTCTTCCAGCTTATGTTTTTTTATTTTGGAAATGAAGAGGATTTTCTAAATTAAAAATGTTATTTTTGTTAACACATGATGAATTTATTAGTTAATTTTTGATTAATAATTTTTAAGTTTTTTCTAACTTCTAATATGGTAAATATCAATAGATATAATCCATGTAAGCAAAGACTTTTTGGGGCCCTCAACAATTTTTAGGGTTATAAAGGGATCCTGAAACTAAAATATTTGAGAATCCTTGCTTATAGCATTCTGATCTCCGCACTGCCGTTGCAGTCTCTCACGTGGGAAGGTATGTAAGATGGGAAATGAGAGAAGTGGTAGAAGGAAAGAGTTGTTGGAGTGAAAGAGTGTTATTTATTTTAATTCTCGTGTTCAAAGGCATAGACCTGGAACAAGACTAAGAATTTGATAATCCACACATTATAATATCAAATGGTTGTGAGTAGAAACTGTATTACCGATAGGCAGGAAGAGGATTCAGTACATCTGTTACTATTAAGAATATGAGACTTGGGATGAGCCTCAGACTTCATCGTGTCTAACCTCCTCATTTTGCAAACGAGGGATTTTAGGTCCAGAGAAGGTAAATGACACGTAACTGAGACAAGAACTCACTAGTCAATTAATTAATTGAACGAATATTTATTGAATACCTAGTATGTTCCAGCCACCGTTTTAGGCATTGCAGACCAGCAGTGAATAAAATACACATAATCCCTACTCTCATAGAGCTTGCTTTCTAGCCTGGGAAGACAAAATAAGAAAGAAATACCATGAACTGTTAAGTACTTTGATGTCAGTAAAATGGGATGATGCACAAGGGAGCCACTGTGGTACTACTTTGGATTAAATGGTCCAGGAAGGCTCCCCAAGAGGACATTTAGCTGATAATTTTTTGACTACCTGTCCATTGCATTATGGACTATACCGTATTCTTCTGGATTCCTACACTTTTGGACTGATAGCTCAAGTCGCCTCGCTAAACTTCATTGTTTTTACCTTCTCCTTTAGCTTTAGTATTTCAGTAGAAAATGCTTAGAAGAATGTTTAATAGAAAATGAGTTGGTATTTGTAATAATTTTAAACCTAATAACATGCAGACGTCTATAAACCCATGAAAGAAAATCCTCCATAATACAGAGAAGAAATAAATATCTTACTCCAAATCACTATTCTTAGTATTTATTCCCTTTTGTAGTAGGTAGTAGTGGCAGGATTGACAATCGGCTATGCTTGTTATATTTACTGTTACATCCCAGCCATGAAAAGGGCCTAGCTTGTGGATAATGAATACTTGGAAAATGAATTCATCAGACGCTGTCTCTGCACTCGTATGGCAGGCATTTTGTATTGGTTGTAGAAAAGCACAGATGTCAGTCACAGACCCAGGCTGAATCATGGCACTGCCATTTACTGTGACTCTGGGTCCCATTGCTTAACCCCTCTCTCAATCTCAGCTTCCACACTAGTTAAAACTGAGGAATAATTTCTGTTTCCAAGAGAGATTGTGAATATTAATTATATAACTTCCTGTGGTGATTGTTAGGTACACAGCAAATAAATGTTAGTTCCCTTTTCCTCTCATTAGCTAGTGGGTAGTTTGCCCATGGAGCAGATCTAAGAGGAACACATAGGACAAAGCTGCTTTTTTGCATTTGGAAAACATTGGTGATGATGTGAGTCAAGCCACTATACCATAAAGTGATTTTTCTTCCCTTATCTCTTTTCTACATAGCTTGTATTTAGCTTCAATGAAAAGCTTTTTGGCTTACTAGTAAAGGATATTGAAGCCATGGATCCCAGCATCCTAAAGGGAGAGCCGGGGACAGGTAAAAGACAGAAGGTATGTTTTATTTCTAATAATTTTATTAGATAATCTCTATGATGTGAATTGTGCAGATTAATTGAATATTCCTACCCATTCTCTTGCTCAGTAATTTCTTTCATATTATGTACTCATTCTTTTACGATAGTAGGAAGAGAAAATGCCTTTATAGCAGGCATCGTTATTAAAATATAGCATAAAATACACATACTTGCAGACATAGTAGTAATTTGAAATTTGTAATCCTGATTGAATGCAGATGAAATGTATTGTAGATAAATAATAACAATATGACAGGCATTATGAAAAGATATATACATTGAAATAAAGAAAATGGGAATAATTGGAAGGTAGTTATGAGAAAAGTAAATGTAACTTAGATGATAGTTTGAAGATTTTCTCTGCTCAGAGAGATCTCATTTCCCCTTTGTCTTTGGCTTTGCTTCGAGAAGTCCAGGAGTCTGCTATTATGCTACTAATCATTGTCTTTCTGTACAGATTGAAGTAGGACTGGTTGTTGGAAACAGTCAAGTTGCATTTGAAAAAGCAGAAAATTCATCACTCAATCTTATTGGTAAGACTTACAGGTTTTAGAAGATTCTGAATGAAGTGGGGTCATCTCTGTTATTATATGTGACTCAATTGTAGTGATTTTCAAGCGAGAAGGAGAATAGGGGCACCTCCCTTGAGAAAGCTTTTCACAAAATTACAATGTGCTAATGTAGTAAAAGTTTAAAATCTTCACTAGATCAGCATTGTCCAATAGAAATATAATGTGAGCCACATATGTAATTTTTAATTTCCTAGTAACCACACTATAAATAAGGAAAAAGGTACAGATAAAATTAATTTAAAAAATTTTTATATTTAGTTAAGTTTAGTCTTACAGAAGATTTGCAAAAGTAGCTCAGAGAATTCCTATATACCCTTCACCAGCTTGCTCTGATGTTACATCTTAAATAACCATAGTACAGTTACCAAAGCTAAATTATCATGGCTTACATTGCTGCTAACTAAACTACAGACTTTATTTGGATTTTACCATTTGTCCTTTTTCTGTTTCAGGATCTAATTCAGGACCCACCTTGCATTTAGTTGTTCAGTCTCCATAGTCTTCTCCAATCTCTGACAGTTCCTCAGACTTTCATGGTCTTATATGACCTTGAGAACTGGTCAGTTATTTTGTAGACTGTCCCTCACTTGCTTATGTGTTAAATGCAATACTAGCATCACTTCTGTTAGTGATTGAGTTAAATGATGAATGGGCAGGTAAAGAACAGATTCATAGTTCAGTCCTACTCTTTTACATTAGCCCTATTTTTATTATATTAAAATAATGCAGATTGGGCTTTAAGAAGAGTAACTCACCAGAATAATAATGCCATTAACTGTACAGCAATTCTTATTTTCAGTTGATTTAATAACTAAGTTGATGTCTACGCCAATAGAAAGTAGAGAATTTTCTTTGGTTGCATACTATCATATCCAAGGTTATTTAATTTTTTTAGACTGTGTGGCCTTTTTTTCTTGATTCATAAACTATCAGTCCCTCATTATTTTTTCTTAATTATAAATTAAAATATTTATTTTATAAAATATGGATAGACACCCAAAACTAACTCACAAACTCTAAAAGTTGATTCTCTTTTCATACTGTTTTATAATTCATTCTTTCTGCTTGACATATTTCAAGCATCTTAAAATCAGCTAAGAGCATGTTTCAATATACCTTTCAACATAATTTTTAATAACTAGATCACTTTATGGATGTGGAATATATCCAAGTCTTTTATTATTGCTCTATATTTCTGCAGTGATTTCTTTGTATTTTGTGTTTTGTACACCTTTTGTTCTCTTATCCCCAGGGAGTTGCGTGACTTTCATACCATGTGGGTATTTCTAAGTAATTCATGCAAAGGTGTGATTGATAGGTTTTTCCCTTTGAAAATTAAAATTGCATAGTGATTTAGCATGCAGTAAGTTTGGCCACAAGAGGGCAGTAGAGTGTAAGAAAAATATTTTCCATAGCTTTGCAAAGTGTTTTTCTCTCTTCTTTAAGTCCACAAAACTCTAACCATGAAACAACCATCTAAGATAAACTTTTTCTGATGCAACCTTTTCTTCCCTAATTAAAAAACTATAATATCATTTTCTTTTTTTTATTTATAGTAGAGTGTACTAAGACATTTTTATTCTTTGTGTTTGTGATATTAATGTGGTTCTCCTGAGTTACTTTAGGTGGCACTATGACATTTAAGTGAAATAATTTTTTTCTGAAAGAATTTGAAAACATGAATTTTGAAATCATTGAAGATGATTTTAGACTTTTGTGTACGAGTGAAGAAAAGCAAATAAGACAACCAGCTTATTCAGTGCATCTTCTCAGGCTGAGGGGTTATATATTCAATTACAGATTTAATCTGGATAAATATATGTATTTTTAAATACACTTGCTTTAGGAGCCTTGAGAGGCTGCTAGATTTCAGTTGCATTTCTGTCAGCTGGTGTTGTCTTCATCAGATATGCACATGGTGTTTCTTCTGATCAAATTAGTTACCTTGGTTAGAATTAAAGGTTGATGAGACCAAGCTCCATGAATTGGTTACAAATGGACTGCAGCATAAGTTTAGCTAGTCATTTCAAAAGTGTTTTACTGACCCTAAATGGGGACCAGACAAAATAGTTAACATAGCAAAATCAGTTAAGAGCATATTGTACATCTTTGTATAAGGGTAGCTCTTCTTTATTCATTGAGGATGCCCTGTGAGCTCTGTCTGTCTTTTTACACTTACTGATGAAGTCCTTGCTTCACATTTGATTATCTTTGTTTGACATAGGCAAAGCTAAAACCAAGGAAAATCGCCAATCTATCATCAATCCAGACTGGAACTTTGAAAAAATGGGAATAGGAGGTCTGGACAAGGAATTTTCAGATATTTTCCGACGAGCATTTGCTTCCCGAGTGTTTCCTCCAGAGATTGTGGAGCAGATGGGTGAGTTTAAAAAGGAAAACTTGATGAAACCTTGTGTTAAAAAAAATGAGTGTGATGAAGTCTCTTTTCAGTAATGTTTTGAAATTATTCTTCAGACCTGCTAAAGTGTTTTTCTCTCTTCCTTAAAAAAAATTTTTTTTTCTAAAAAATCTTTGATATGTTAGAACTTTTAAAATTGCATTTTAAATTTATGGGGAAATCATAGAAATATTTGTTGGTTTGCCCCATTTTATTTATTTATTCTAGCATGATTTTTTTATTGGACACATGTAGCCATTTCGTTTTATTTAATTATCTATTAATGTTTTTGCATAGGGAATATTTAGAAATTTTACCTGACTCTAAAAATACACTATGGGTAAGATTTATCCTGCTGAATAATGATTATCTGTTAGACTATGAGCATTTTCTAATATTAGCTGCTGTTGCTGCTTTGTAGTATGCTATTGCATTACTTAATTAGTACATCTTCATACCTAGTAAATGGATAATTGGCATGTTTTTAAGTTAGATAAGTTTGATCCAATAAGACAAATGCTGGGTACACATAGGAGTTTCCATATTACATACAAAGAACTGCACTCTTCATTTATCACTTTCTTCTTGAAGGTTTATTTAGTTTATCTGTGTGAAGTGGCATTATTTGCCCTAGTGGAAATGCTGTCATGACTGTTTTCATATCCATATTATAGATCGGACTGGAATGTAAGCCACAGAATATCTCAGAAAGGAATTTATAACAGCTTCTGGCAGACTATTAGTATAAAAACAGTTTTCAAAAAAACTGGCAGAATACAAATATATTCCTCCTCTCACCCCCAACATTCTTTATCTTTCAGTTGCTACTGGGAGATAAAAGTATATTCATAATGGTGGGGATAAGAACTGCTTTCTAGGCACTAAGTGCTTGGTTCTGTTCGCCTCCTATTGTTGGTAGCCTTTCTGCCTGGTCACTCATTCTGATAAATTACAGGCACAGCACACACCTGTTCACTAGTAAAGGTCGAGTTTGGAATTGGATTAAGAGAAAATGACAGAGACCCTCATCACCTGAGTTTTATACACCTTCAAATGCAATAACATACTTTTTTATCTGAAAGATACAAAGGCCAAGTCCATAAAATAACAAGTTTAATTTGGAAAATAATAAAAAACGTAATAGTTCACTATCTTGGCGATGTATATTTTGAGGCACAATAAATCCGTAAAGCTTTTTTGACCAAGACATGAAAATATTGTTTAAGTGTATTGTAGGTATAGGCAGAGATAAAGGTGTGATTTCAAATGTTGTAAGTTATTCTTGTAGAATATTTTTTCTGGATTTCAAGAGCAAGCTCTGGTACAGAGAGAGTAGTGATTCTGTTTCTTTGAACATTGTACTGTCCAGCCAACAAGTAGAAGAATAACTGCTTTTGGAAAGCCATAACTTTTCATTATGACTGTTTTCTCACCATTGGAAACTACAGAGGACTCAGTTATTCAGATGCTAGTTTTGTGTTTGTGCATCATCTAAACTCTGCTCGTTAGGGCCTTTGTCTGAGGTTGGGTAGATAATTTATAAAGGAGTAAAACTCATATTGCTTGATTTGTGGTTTTGCCAGCTGTCAAAAGAGTTTGAAATTAAGTCAAAACAGATACAGAATTTCTGAGTGACTTCAGTCCATGTTTCTGCGATCCATACTGAAATCAATTGAATTATAATAGTATGCTTTTGTTTTTATTAACATGCTTTTTGACTAAGGACCATGGATTTAAGTTTTGTTTGTGAGTGCTACTATCCAAAACCCTTTTTATGGATTTATTTTTCTAATATTTTTACACTAATTTAATTAGACAAAAAAGAGTTCTGTCCTTTTTATTTTTTTATTTTATTTATTTTTTAATTTTTTAATTTTATTTTTGTTTAAAATATTACAGATAGTTCTGTCCTTTTTAAAAAGTAATATATTTTTTCTCTTCATGGCTTTTTTTCATCAAGAAGCACATGCTATCAATTTGATTTAAAAGAGAATAAGTATAAAGCTACCTTGGCTTTTGAGCTACATTGAAAGACATTTTCTTTATTCTGAATGAAGATTCTCAGTGTCCTAAAGCTACTTTTTTATGGTAAAATGGCTGCAAAATAATTCTCTTGCTATGCGTGTGTCATTCCTTATTTTTCAATAGAGGCTTTTTTTCTTTGAATTTTGCGGAAGTTTCATAGTAGAATACTTATTGCACTCCAAGTACAGTGTGGTTATTAAGTTCTCATTAGGCTTTGATAAAGGTATATAAAAATAAAATTTGCTACTTTTGGGTAGAATATAAAATAACACTACACAAGTCCTTTTTATATATGCCCTGTGTTCTCTTACCCTGTCAAGTGGAAACAAAATGGTTGTGGGATTCAGTTGGACACTGGATATGATTAGTTAAATCAATTCAAATGAAAAAAATAGTGATTAGAAAAGAATAATTATGGGGCTGTTTCATTTTGATTTAAGCAGGTAACTTTTTTACTTTTGGCTTGAGACCAAATCATTATCTTTACCATGAAGTCTAGAGTTATGTCTGCTTTGTAAACAGGAATCTTAGCTAAATGGGTCTTTTTGCCTGTACATCAAAGTTTGAAGTTGACAAAGTGATAAATTTAGAATTCTCTTTTGTCGTGTTTATGAGACTGATAATTATGCTTCTAGGTAATATAGTTCTCTCTTTTTGCTTGTAAAACTTCATGTTGCTTTTCAAAATTGAAAATAGTTTAGATACGTACAGAATGTTGCCGATGAGATGTAGGAAGACAAAAGGACTAACCAGAGTCACACAATATGAATAAAATTGGGGATCAGATGAGGTAATATACATGAAATAAATGTCCTATACAGGATGGGGCAAAAGTAGATTTACAGTTGTGAGTACATGAAACAGTTTATTCTTATATTATTATTTATGAATTGTATTATTTTTCCATATGAACAACTGTAAGCCTTCTTTTGCCACACCCTGTATATTTGTTTCCAATCTGTTGGTTTCTCTCTTCAAGTACTTTCAATTATGTAGTATATACCTTGCTGTTTTTGTTATAACATTTTTATAGAATTAAAATGAAGGAAAGCCTGAAAGGGGAAAAGAAGTCACATACAGGCCTATAGACAGAGGAAGAAAGGCCATGTGTAGAGATGGGAAAAAGGCATCACTTAGGGGGAATATCAGTTTAGACTTTTGTTGTTTTCATCAGTGTAACTGTACATTTTCCTTGTCCGTAGCAGTCGGACTCACCCAAACCCTCGTGGGCAGCTCTTGCTTGGAAGTATATGAAAGCATTCGCAAAGAAAGCTAGACCTATACCTTGCACTCAGTGGATACCAAATAACTATTTAGTCACAATGTCCTCCAGCCCCTATAATGATGGATGTTTAGTTACGAATGACCTTAGGTCCTTACTTTGTGGAATAATAGAAGCACCTTTTGAGTGCCAGGGTAGAAATGTCGGCATTAAGGACTAGTATCTGGAAGTACAGGTGAATAAACTCAAGGCTGATTGCTGGCCTTGAGAGTACTCAGATGTCAACTGATTATATACTCTTACCACACTCAGTCCTTTGCGTGCAGTTTTGGAGAGTGCTCAGGATAAACGATTGATTTCCTCAGTTCTCATTGTAGCTTTTTTGTTGGCAAAGATAGAGTTTCTGCAAAGAAACTTCATTTTTCAGCACCCCTGGCAATTACCTCTAAACTGTAAATGTCAGAGCAGAAAAAACAAAAATCCTTTTCAAAGAACAGTGGGATAATTGTTAAAGAATTAGTGTCTCTTAATGTAATTCTAGGACTAGGTTCACATGCATCCAAGGAAAGGGGCTTTGATAAAAGTTATCCATTTTAGAGCTAGAAGGAAAAGGGTGTAGAGACTTAAGTCCTCAAGCCTCCCACTGTCCTTTGGTGAATCTATACCTCCTAGATACCCAGGCCGCCTAGTGGGGAGGACAGCCACTTTTATGGTCTTGTACCCCATTCTTTCGTACTGACAGTGTGTTCGTTTTGTGCCCTTTCCTCTGTGCCTCCGTCTCTAAGTCCATTTTCAATCTGTATTTTTAAGATTTCTTTTGAAATTCTAGAGGAAAGCAACTCTTTTTTGCTATCATAAGTGAGACTGCAGTTACTCTATGAAGCAGAGCTGCCGAGAGATAAGGAGCCTTTCAATCACATGCAGACATCTTTCAGATGCTAAGAACAGTGCAAATAAAATAGAGTGGAAGAAAGGGCGCTAAGGTTTTGAACATGCCATATTTGGGAGAGAGGGAGTTCTTGCTAAGATTAACATAAACACTGACACTCTTAAAATGCATTTTCACACCCCCACTCTTGAGCAGAGATTGCAATTTAAATGGGGGTTAAGACATCTAGCCGAACTCCAGGGCTCTGTAAAAGGAACCCTAAGGCTAAAGAGCTTATCTGAAATTTGAAAAAAAGAAGAAAAAAATGAAGCTTTCTGACATTCATCTTTTCCCCTTGTATTAGTCATAACTTGCTTTTCAGCTATATTTTAGGTTTTGAATGCCAACCTGACATCTGTTCAAGTCTGCCTGTAATTTATTAGGGAAGGAAAAGAAAGCAATTGCTCACTGGTTAGAGATGCAAAACTTCCCCCTTCTGGTTTTCCACAAAGTACTTGTAGATGATACTTAGATATGAGGAATGTAAGAGTTTAATAATTTATTAATTCTAATTTCAGGTTGGGAAATTGATAAAGTTGTGTGTTTTTTTAATTAGAAGAAGAAAATGGCTTATGACCATGTGGTTTCCAAAATCTCTAGATCAGAATTTAGAGATCAAGCACACACCCTAAAAATAATACTATCGGGGCCTTTCTATTAATTGAAATTTTAAACCTTGAATTAATTTTCCCATTGGTTTTAATTTTTTAAGTTGAACTTACTTACATTTGAATAGAAATAATGTGGCTGTGCCTATATCTTAGAGTCAAATCATATGCAAATTCAACTGGCATTTTTTTATTGATA